GCGGCCCACAACATTCACCTCTCCCCCCCATAGCCAGCCTCCCGCCGGGCCACAGCCCCACAATGCCGTAGATTCTCCAGCCGTGCCAGCATCCGGCCACCCAGTCCCGTAGCCCCATCCAGCCTGGTCACAGGACCCCCCATTCCCGCGCCTCCTCTGAATATCTTTGGGTTTGAATTTCAAATTCCCCTCATGAGCCTTGAGCCTGATTACATTCCTTTAATTTTGATTCCTAAAATTTAGGCAATTCATTTTAATTGAGTTTTAAAGCAAATTTGAAATCAAACGTTGACTAATTTCCCCCATTAGTTAAAGGAAAGTTTCCTTTGTTATAAACATCTGTTTTATTACATATTTATGAAAATCTTGTTACACTAATAGATGGGCCCCACTTTAATATAACTCCCTCTTCCTCCCCTTCTTAGTCCAGCCTCCCCTCTCATTGGCTCCTCTCTCTTTCTCCTCTAATCACTCATTAATTCCACAACTTTCAGCCCTTAAATCACTCTCTCTTAACCGCCCCTTCCTCCCTCTTTGATTTAATTGATTGTTCAAATTAAATCTCTCGATTAGCTCTCCAAAAAACAATTTCCATGCAGAAATTTCTGCACCCCTTTCCTTCTTCCTCCACCTTGGCCGAACCCCACTAACCCGCAACACTTGATTCGTCTCTTCCCGAGCTTTCCGAACCTATTTCTCTCCTCCCTTGGAAACTTCTTGCGGCAACCACCCGCTCTTCACTCGTCGAGTAATGCATGATGAACCCGAGTGGGAATTTCGGATTTGAATACGACAACCAGGACGAGTCGACATCTCAAATCACCCTTCTTCGACGTTGGGATTGGACTTTGACATACACCGCCAAAGAATATTTATGGATCGGATCTTTACCAACCTAGTGCCGAGGCCATCGACGACCATTTCTCCGTCTACACGTGGATCATTGAGGCCGGTCACCCGGCTCCTCTGAACCCGGCTCCCTCCCCGGCGACATAGTCCTCAAGCATAAACTTGCCTAATTAGTGGCGTCTCGCTAAGTCTACTTACAATTCTTCTTCCCTAGCCACCACTTGCCAAACAGCGACGGACATCAGGTGAAGGACAGATTTTAAATTGCGGGCTTTTGTTATTTCTACCTAATTTGCATTATTTTTAAAATTTTGGTGCTATTTTGTGAGGTTCCTCAATCTCTACATGTAACGTATTGTTCATTATTTTTAATCTTCAATGTTCCCATATTTCTTAAACCAACTTGATAAAGCAAGAAGTTTTAATTAGTAACGTGAACATCAATAATTTTATTAATTCTCAAGTGCAATTCTTACTTCATCGCATGTTGTTTCACATCACATTTGCAAAGAGGTTGTAACCTAGTTGTATGCTTTTTGCTGATGATTATTTTCTTGTTGATAAGACTAGAGAGGGGTTTGAAGGTAAAACTTGAATTATGGAGGCAGTCTTTAGGACTTAAAGACTTCGTTTGAGTAGATCTATAACTGAATATATGAAGCTGCAATTTTAGTAATAATAGTTCTTGTGGGGGATTGTGACTGGGTGATCAAGTCATTAATAAGAGTACACGTTTTAGGATATTTAGTCTATTAGTTCATTAGTGATGATTGAAATAAAATGGGATATTATTAAATAGAATTCAAGCTGGATGGTTGTGAAATGGAGGAAGCATCGTGCTTGTTTGTGTTGATAGAGAAAAGTTCCATTCTCAAACTAAGGGAAAATTCTATAAGATGCTGGCTAGACTTGCAATGCTTTCATGGGTATAATGTTGGCCATTAAAAGAGAAGCATATATTTAAGTTAAGTTTGGAAGATAGCCGATGCTCAGAGGAATGAAGGCTTTACTTCTTAGAGACGCGGAATGAAATGAGCATATACCGATGAAAAGTGGAGTAGCTCTAATGGAGATAAGATTAGAGAAGAGTCGCCTTAGATGGGTTTTTGGTTCACATAGCCCACGGCGGCCTTTGATGACTTGGGTTGGAAAAATAGATGTATTAGATTTGGACTTAAGTAGAAAGGTTAAGGTAGACTAAAAAGGCTTGGTTAGATTAATATTAGAAATGGACCATTCTTATTAGATTTAAATGAGAATTTAACTATTTAACAGGTACAATGGAGAAAAAGGATTCATGTAGCCGACCCCACATAGTGGGATAAAGGCTTGATGTTGTTGTTGTTGGTGGTGGTGAATTCTTTTCTTGACTTAGTTTATTTTTATGGATTTTGTTATTAGCTTGTTAGGGTTCCTGATTTTCCTTAAATTTGACATAACCTAGTTTTTAATTATGATGAATATATTGCAATTGCTTGTTGTGAAGGAAAAAAAATTTCATGAATAAGAGATTTGATTTGAGCGAGATTCTTAGAGAATGAAGAAGCAAATAGTAAATTGATGATTCTATGAATAAAAGATTTTTTATATTTTTAGACCTTTTGATTTTAACGTCCAAATGCATGACAATGGCTAAACATGTATTTCTTTTAAGAGGATTAAATTCAACTCAGTTTATATTTACATAATTTATATAACTCTTTGGTCTAATTGTTGAGTTAGTCGCCTTCAAATAACTTGAGGATTGAGGCAACATTTGTATAGTGAGACCCATTGATAGTCAGGACTAATAATGGAAGAGTAGTTTATTCCGCTACTATAATATTCTCTTTAATCTTGAGCAACTTGCATCGTGATTTGCTATATTTAAGTGAAGTAATATGATTGAGAAAATAAAATATTATTTATTGAGTTGTATCATCTAGAATGAGATGAGTTGATTTTTGACAAAGATGAGTCATATACAAAAGATGAGTTGATTTGACTAAATTTGAGTGAATTTTAGTAAATTGGAGTGGATTTCAATGAATCCAAGTAGATCTTGAAAGAGAATATCTAAAATGTAGTAGAGTGAATATGTATCATGGAAAAGTAGATTCATGATTCTAAAGATTAGCCCTTTGGATTGGAAGTGTCATCTTTTGGCTCAAAAGATTATATTCGAGATTAAAATTGTAGATATGTGACTTAGACGAGTGGATCCATACTGGATCCATACCTTAGAAGAGCAATTTTCTGGCTAGGAAGAGTAGATCTATAATTTATACTGTAATTGCAAATATTTTTTTATATCCAAAACATTATTCAAAGAATAATCATGAATACCAATCTATTTAATTAGTTCTTATTTAAACATACATGATTCTTATGTTGGTTTGTGTATGATGAGCTTTAGCGGATATGATGTTTTTTCTGTAAGAGTATTAATCATATGTGTGATAGTCCTAAGAGAATGATTTTAATATTTCTCAATATCCAAGAGTAGTTATAAAGCCACATGCAATATTTTTGGTAAATTATCACTTAGTTCATCACCAATTTTTTGCTAAAGACCTAATAGTAGCATAATAGTTTAAAGACAAGGAATGTTTAGTTACAAAACTGGTAAATGTTGCATAACATTCAAACGAACCATAGTCATATTGTTTATGTTTTTAAATTGATTTTACAATCAAACCCTATATTCATTATGAATTGCTCTGTATATATATGTTTCATATTAACTCATGATTTTGTGACAATACTTTGGTAAAATGATTGAGTGTACCCTACTAGCTTTGATTTGACTCGTTCAATTCACTGGGAATCATACATTTACTTTTTCAAAAAAGTCTTCGGATTTATTCATCCAATTTGAAAAGTTTATAAGTTTACATTGCTCAATAAATTTGGCAATATAATTTAGAAACTCATGTTTAGCATGTCATAGTTATCTAGAGTCATAGTTTAAAAGATTTCATTTAAATTGCTTTTTTATGGGCTCAATTATTGTATCATACTTTTAGTAACATCATGATACAATTAGAAGCTCATATACTAAATTGATTTTGAATGTTTAGAGGTTTAAAAAAAATAATGCATCTTGGGTGATGTTGTGAGTGTATATCACACAAAAGAAGCTATGATTCACAGCTTAAGGCCACTAAATACACTAAATTTAGTTTTGTTTAGGTGTAAATGTTGTAATAAAAATAAAAAAATAATAAAAAAAAGAAATACGGGAGTCGCTTCTATTCACGGACAAACGCCACCCTTCGGCATTAAGAAATGAACGAATAAATGAAAAGTGAAAATCTCACTAAGAAAGGGATATGCTCGTTTCAATTTTAGCCTCGCCGGTCAATCGTAGTGTGGAGACTTTTATTCAGTGCTTTGTATTGGATACACCAAAATTGTGAGCAAAATGGTTGGCATGGGCAGAGTATTGGTATAATACTTTATATCATTCGATAGTTCAGACAACACCGTTCAATGTGTTATATGGAAGATATCCGGCTCATTTGATATATTATGGACAAGACAACACATCAGTGACATCAGTAGAGCAGTACTTGGAGGACATGATCTTGTTGGAGCTGTAGGGGCATTTGTTGAGAACTCAACAAATTATGAAGAGGCAAGCAAATGCATATAGGAGAGACATTCAGTTTGAGGTGGGGGATATGCTTACTTGAATCTTCGACCCTACAAATAAAGAACCTTGGCATGAAGAATGAATGAGAAGTTAGCACTCTATTATTTTGGTCCTTACAAGATAGTGGAGCGCATCAGTGCTGTGGCATATCGCCTACTGTTACCACCGTCGTCAGCTATCCACCCGGTGTTTCATGTGTCCCGGTTGAGACGTGTTATAGGAGAGCACATTCCGTTTTCTGCACTTCTCTCTACCTTGCGGACGACATTGAGTGTGTTGTTAGAACCATTGGAGGTTGAAGGAGTGCACCAGGGAGTAACAACAAGCAAAAAAGTGTTGATCAGTTGGAAGAACCTATCGAAGTATGAAGCCACATGGGAGTCCTACCAGATCATTCAACAGTAGTTCCCTTCATTCCACCTTGAGGACAAGGTGATACTTTTGCTGGGGAGTATTGATGGACTGACGGTTAAGGATGTGGGCCCAGGTGTGGGGGTAGTTGCCTGGTTGGAAACGGTGGAAAATTAGAGGGGGTTGGAAATGGAGGAGAATTAAAGGAGGGGGTTGAAAAGGGAGGAGAATTAAAGGAGTGTATCACTTATCAAAAGATAAGGTGGGGGAAATATATGGAAGAGTAATTCAGGTTTTGGGTGGAGAATAGGGAGAGTTATACTAGGCCTTTTGGTGGTATTATTTTTCTTCATGCAAATTTTGTAAGTGTTCTTGCTGTTCATTGTTCTTGCGAGGGATTCTAGTAGTGTATAGAGTTTAGGAGAGAAGGTCCTCCTCTCAAAAGAGGAACATTGTATCTTGCTTGTTAGTGTTTGCTTTCTTATCAAGAAAATCTATTTGGTTTGTTGAAATTTACTATTTGTTTGTTGGTTTTTGATGTTCAAGTCCTAACATAGTGTGCATTCCATAAACAGAAATCCCAGCACAATTCTTTATTTATTTACTTTATTAAGTGCTCTGACTCTTCCGTGACATAACTTCAGCCAGGAAAATAAATTAGGGTTACATAGAGATGTTGCTAAGCAATAAGAACAAAATGACCTTCTTTTGTCTCCTCTAAGCTCCAGCTAGTGACCACCTCGATTAAGCTAGATTTATGCAATTGCTTCCAAGAAGTAATCCCCTCTTAGTCACTGTCTGCCTCTTGCCGCAAGCCTCCAGCAGCTCTCTCTTTAATTCTGTCTCTTGCTTGTTCTTTCTGAAAGCTCCTGAGCCCTCAGTACAACTGCTTTTCATTCTCTCTCTCTCTACTCATCTCTTGGTTTCATGCCCATGCCCTCTTTGACTCACTTTTGATCATAATATAAAACGAGTGGCTCCAGCCCACCACATCTTCTTAGGTGGTGAGGAAAACGTGCCAGATCCAAGTAGATTTTCTTTTTTCTTTTTTTAATTTCTACGGGTTTTGCAAAAAATATTTTCTTTAAGTTGACTTGAAATAGTTGGAATTAGTCAAATTATAATGATATACATGTGAATTCTTTCTTACCCTTTTTGGTAATAGAAACTACTGAAGTGAGCTTGAATGGGCGTGATTGTTCTTTGGCTTGAATTTCTTGGTTATGTAACCAGGTAAACAACAGGGATATGTCTATTGCAGTTTTGAGGACTTACATTTCAAGGCACAAGGAGGAGTATGCTGCAAAGTTTAATCTGAAGAATAAATTCCAAAATGAAGTCCAAGATGGTACGCAAGCTTTTCTTTATCATTCACAACTGGAAAAGTCACTTGAGATATAAATACATACAAAGCCACCAATATAACTGCTCATACCATCTTAAAACTATTTTAAGAAATGCAGGTAACCAATTTGGAGAAGTGTCAGGGAGAGCTTAGAGCATCAATTGTTCTTGAGGTGCAAATGATTTGTTAGCCATCTTGTAACACTGAATGTAATTGAACCGTTTTTCTGGAGTTACTAAATGTATTCAGTGGACCAACTTTAGAAGTGGATTCTTGCTTAGGAATCCTCTAAGAATCAGTCACCAATATTGATTTTGTCAGGCTCCTAATTTAACTCATAATGTTCTGTGCGCTATGCATTTGTAGGCTTTGGCGGCTTCCGGTTTGAGAGCCATACGCTATGCTTGTGAAGTAGATGGAATTGGTCAAGTTTTAGCCATTGACAAAGATAAAGGTAATCTTGGTTTTATATTCTTTTTTTCGTGTCTAATTTAATGATAATTTTAGTTTTATTGATTATAAATTGTTGGATTAATTTATGGTTGTATTATTCAAATCTTATTGTTTATTTTATAGTGTGCATTGAGATTTGCAAGAAAAATATAATACTCAATGGCCCTGCAACATGTTCAAAGGTTGCAGCTCATCTTGGTGATGCTCGTGTTTACATGCTTACTCATCCCAAAGAATTTGACGTGGTAATTAGTATTTTGTATTATTGTGTATGACATATTCATCCATCAATTATGTACAAATTTATGTAGTTTTTCTTCTTTTTTTTCTCTCCCCCTATCCTTCATAGCAATACTTCTAAAGCACCATCCCCACAATATTGAACGATAATGATCAGAAGCTTGATTTTCATTTTGTGATGTTTGTGTTTGCATGAATATATACACACATTCCAAAACAAACATCTTTTAATTTTGTGTTTTTTAAAATATAAATACCAATATGGTTGTGATAAATATGTAGAACTTGCACATTTTGAATCATTTAATATGATAAACTTACAAATATCACTAATGATGTGGTGTTGCTACATCAATGCTATTAAATATATGCTTTTCGTTGACATCCTGGCAATCCCAGTCCCTATCTCTTAATTGGTCTTCATCATGATGGAGAAAAAGTAATATATATTTATGTTATTAATTTTCTCCTCCTTATAGGAGAATCATCGTTCTTTTTCCATTTACTTTATGATGTTATGGCCATCAATTAAAAGATTTAATATTTTCATTCTCATCATCATCATCAAAACTAATATTATATTTGTTGTCAACAATTTTTATGAACATGTGATCATCAATAAGCTGTATCAAGCTTTCGATGGCTTTGATTGCATATGAATATAATTGAGATTTCCTTGTGTAGAGATTTTCAAGTGATTTGAATTATTGATGATATCTTGCATGCATTAAACAATTTTGGTTAGTGAAATATAGGTTGTCCAATTATTCTTATATTTTTCATTTGCTCGATAAATGATTAAATTATTATGAAATTGATGAAATTTAATCCATATGTAATTCTTATGCTGTAGATCACATTCAATGGTTTAATTTTGGTTTTAAAGATTACTTACAGCGTTAAATGCCAAGATATAATTTGGGAAGGAATAATTATTTTAATTCTATGATAAAAAATGTCCAAATTTCTCTCTCTCTCTCTCTCTCTCTCTCTCTCTATATATATATATATATATATATATGAAGGACGTAAGGCAGAATATAATGTACCCACTGTTACATTAGCTGCTGCTGATATCATTGCATCTTCTACAAAGCCATAACTAAATCTAATCAACGAATTCTAGGATGCTAAACAACTTCCACAGCTGACTCAATCTTATTGGCATACTCCTCCTGATTAGATAAATATTAATATTGATGCATATCTTTTAAGTAATAATCAAGCAGGAATTGCACGTATTGTTCAAGGTTATAAAGGTAGATTTCTACTAGTGTATGGGAGGAAAATGTTGCATTGGGATGTTGCACAGTTGGAATTGCTTGCAGTTTTTACGATTCGAGATGTGATATAAGAATTTGAATATGACATAAAAGACATTATTATTGAAGGAGATAATATAAATATTATGTGATCTTGTCATAACTCTTTGAAGGAGAGGTTCGATCAAGACAATATGATGGAAAAAGTTCTATTTCTTAGGGATTTTAATTTTTTAATTTCCATTATATTAATAGTTTTTTAATTAGGTGGGCTGATTATAGTACTTCCTCAGCAATTTGTGGGGATTTCCTTTGGGATGTTTCCTCTTTTAATAATCTTCCTCCATTTCTATCACTTAGGTTGTTCCTCTTTTCTTCAGTTTAATGCTATTTGCAATTTCTTAAAAAAAAGGAAGAATATAATGTAGACACTTTCAAATAATTTGGGTTATTGATGATATCTTTTATGTATTGAACTTTTTTTATTAGTGAAATTTATGTGTAATGTTAGGCTTCTATAATTTGTGCAATCATGCTTATGTTTTATATCTGCTTGATGAATGACTAAATCATTATGAAATTGATGAAATTTAATATACATAATTCTTATGTAGTAGATCACATTTTCACAATAAAAGCAAAGTTATAATTTTGAGGGGAATAATCATTCTCCTTCTAAGATCAGAAAAGTCTCTCTCTCTCTCTCTCTCTCTCTCTCTCTCTCTATATATATATATATAATAAGTATACTATATATAGTTACATATATATATATATTATGGGTTAAACCCTATCACAGAAGAGTGCGCTTCAGCATTTTGTTTTTGAAGAATTGAGCTGGATATTTCCAACTCAGCATATGCACTATGTATCGCCCTTCTATTCCATCACATCAATGTTGTCGACCCATTTATTTTTCATTCTTAGATTATTTTTGTTATTCAATAATTTTTTTGGCTGGATCTCATGTTGGCCTATATCTGCAAATTTTTACTCTAGGTCCTGCCTTTATCTTGTTTGGAACGCTATTGGTAATTAACTTGGCTAAACTCTGTTTTAGTTGGCTACACAATTGAAGTTTGATATTTTCCATTCTGTGACAAAGTTGTTCAGGGACTGATCAACCTGAGGCAAAGATACTTCTGTTTCCAATAAACTACGTCATGCCACACAATGGAAAAAATAAAAACACAGAAAACTGAGGTGGCCGATTAGTTTATGCAGGATGGGCCTGCCTAACTTGATTTAGGATATGCGAAATTTAAATGATTCTTCATGTGATGTATGATTGAGACTAGCAAAACATTGTGTATTAGGTACACATAAAAATAAGATTTTAGAAATTTTTGTTGTGTAGGAATTAAAAACAACTAGCTGTAACTAGAAAATCAAAGAAAAATATACACAAATGCTAAAAAGTCATTTTTTTTAGTGGCATGAACTCATGATCAATATGAAGCAAAAGATGAAAAATGCATTAATCTATGCAATAAATTTTTTGATGCCACTATAGATTCATGAAAATCTCATAAGCTTAGAGAAAGCAATGAGTTTTTACCAAAGGAGTAAAATAGAATGGAAGGAATAGCCAAATCTTCCTTTGAAGCAAGTGATATGATCTAAGGTTGCCCTTTCATGCAGATAGTTCAATTTACGTGTGAGAACTGAGTGATAATCTGCTTTTAAAAATGTGGCAAAGTTTATAGGCGGAGAACAAATAAACAACACAATTGTATCATTCAGACAGGAAACATGGGAATTGACAGAAATGATGGGAAACTAGATTGAATTCATTGCTCCATATTCCAGATCTGGCATCAAGTTTCATTTGAATGGGAGGAAAACTTCAATTCTTTTTTTGTCATCCAAATTTAAGGTTCAATGGGAAAAGGCACCATGCGAGCATAAAGAGAAAAAAATAAATAAATAATCATGGATTGCGCTCTAAACTATATGGAATGGGATATCATAACCTTTTCTTAGAACATGAAGGCATTGAATTGTTTAAGTTAGTGCCAATGTCGTGAAAGTGATAGGATCAAGTCAAAGGAGGTTTTGGACTTTTCAAACCTGTCTAGACGTGATATTTGTGTAGGGATTTATGGTCCGAGCTCGAGCTTTTATAAGCTTGGGTTAGGCATGTTTATTCAATTGGGTTGGGTCAAATGAGGATATGCTTATCCAGATCCACTTGAAAATGCTATCTGAATAGGTCAATTTAAATCAACATGGAGCTTTGGTTTGAGTATGTGGCCATGCTTAGGATTTGAATTGTGGCAGATAGGTTTGTCTGACCTATGCCCAGGTCTAGTAATAATATGCATGATTTGTATTATTTTTATCATCAATATTACCCTTGAATCGACTGCCAAGTAAGTCTGTTTAATGCAACAACAAGAGTCCAAGACAAAGGTCGAGGATAAGGTCACAAAAGCAATGCATTGCTTCAAGATTTGGCCCCATTATCATGCACAACTCTCCAAGCAAGCTTATGGATAAACATTAATCTCTTTAAAACCATTGAAAAATAATTAAGAAGATTAATTTAAGGTCTCTTAATAAGTATGTTGGCTTAATCAGTCAAGGAAGCAATTTTTTTTTTAAAGTTATTTTACTTCAGGGTCACCCTACTTGCCTTATTTGGACAATCTAAATTTTCATGTTTTTGGAAGTTTTATGTTCAGTTTTGTTTCTTTTAATATTTTTCTCATTGCATTAGAACAAGTAATCAATCCATGCAATATAATTTATTAGCTCTTAAGACTTTTCAAAGTTGAAAACCTTAGGAAGGACCTATAAATAAGATCTTGCTTCATACTTTTGAATTCATTGAATAAAAATTAATTTTTAGTTGTATAAATTTTATTTGAAAATTCTTGGTGGTACTCACATTGGTGAAGCTTAGTGGTTGATCTTCTAGTATTTTGATGAGTCTTTGATTATCTTTTCTCTTTTTTATTAATCCTCGTTTCTAACACAATTCTCATCTCATCTAAATTTTCCTAGTTTTTGTGGTCCCAAAATGCATTAACCTTTTCAAACCTCTTTTAAACATTTTCACGCATCCCTCATAACTTCCCAATGCTTCAATTCCCTGATAACCTTAAGATATCCTAGCTAAAAGCTTAATATTGAGAGATAATTTTTTATTGTGACCTAATTAAAATTTTCACAACTCTTTACCATCGATCCAAAATTCATAAAAATATCAACATTAGTTTCCTAATATCCCAAATCTTTGATATGAAGTTCCTCCTCGTTTGCCTCCAAGAAAGACTTGTCTTTGGATAGCCTAGAAGTTTTAGCTCTAAATTTGTCCATGAATGCCATTTCCAGTACCATCCACAACCCTAAGAGGATGGCAATCAAGGTGTTGCATCACTATAAAGATCCTATAGACCCTACATCACTGTTGTGTCTGTCGGATCATAATTCTCTATTTATTATTCTTGAGTATTACATGAAATAATTTTATTTTGCTCGAATCTTCTATCTTTGATTTATCCCTTGTCCCTCTTTATCCATTTACATTAATTTTAATGCATTTTTTGCTTTTCCATTTATGTGCCAAACTATTTAATTCTACTTTAACTATCTTATCTTCAACTTTTTTTTTCTTATTTTGCTGGCCATTTTTTTTAATAACAATGTTGCAGACTATATTTTTGTTATTTTATGATCATGTGCCATATATTATTGCCCATGCTTTACAATCATATAATAATCACCATTCACATGTTAAATGATGCTCACATTATATTTACAATAGTTGCTAGAATGTATTTGAATGATGAAATACTCTCAGAATTTCAAGTTATGATCTGAGAGATCCTCCACATGAGCATATCTACGTAGAACAAATAACAGCATTTTGTACTATGAGCTAACTTGGCTGCATCAATCATTATTTGATTGGGTGTCTCTCACTTCAATCAACCTGCATTTTCGGTAGATTGCACGAATGGCCCCATAACTGTTTTTATGCTTTGTAATTACAGGTTGATCTTGATCCGTATGGAACACCTTCAATTTTTTTGGACTCAGCAGTCCAGTCACTTGTTGATGGTGGCTTGTTAATGTGCACTGCTACTGATTTGGCAGTGCTTTGTGGAGAAGATCGTGACGTCTGCTATTCCAAGTGAGATTCTGGGCCCTCATTGCTTGCAGAGGTACTTTTCCCCCATAAGATATTTTATTCCTATCACTGCAATCTTTGGCATACAGATATGGTTCCTATCCTTTGAAAGGAAAGTACTGTCATGAGATGGCTTTGAGGATTCTACTTGCTTGCATTGAGGTACGTAGATCTTATAAATTTGCAATGAATATTTACCACCACTTTTATATTTGATGATTGATTTCTCACTTCTTGAAGAGCCATGCAAATCGGTACAAGCGTTTCATTGTTCCGGTCCTCTCTGTATATATGGATTACTATATCCGCGTGTTTGTTCGTGTTTACACGTATGCTCTTTTCTTAATTTAAGAATTGTGCTATTATAATTTGCTAAAAAATTCTGTAGTTTTGTTATATTCTATTTTAGAGGATACTTCTTTTATTTTTTGTTTCCATAACTTGAATAATGTGTCCGTATGCAGTTCTCCCATTGCCATGAAGAAAACTACTCTTAAACTTGCTTACGTATACCAGTGTGTCGCCTGTGATTCGTTTCATCTCCAACGTATTGGAAGAGCTACTACTAAGGTATATATTTGGATCTTTTGAATGTTTAATTTGTTAAAGAGGCAATTTTTTTTGCTGTACGCCTAATTGACTGAATACACATACACACACACACACATATATATATATGAAAAAGGGAAGAACAGAAAAGTAAGATAATAAGTGGAACGTATCCTTATTTAAGATGATAGATTACAGGGACAACTTTCCAATCTAATATCTTCTTAAATCTTCTTTCCAATTTTTGAACTTCCCTTATGATAACACTCAACCTCAAATTGGACCATAGATATTAATAAATTCCAACTTTTTACAAAGATTGCAGAAACTAGGAGGCCCCATAACTTTGGTAAATATCTTAGTTAATTTTTCTTCATAAGATACATGGGGAGTTACTCAAAGGTTTTTTGCTACATCTTAAAATTCTTAGAACAATATCTTAGTATTTCTTCTTTAGAATTTGAATGTGTTGATTAATTATTGACGACCATAGGTGGGACCTACTCCTTCGCCTCCTTCACACATCTAGAAGTCATCTACCCTGGGGTGAAATCCATAGGCCCAATTATGCTGGTAATCATAGTATGGATCCTTGAGTACATGAATTGAAAAGCTTAGCAATTGGATCTTCTCTCTTATAGCTCTTAGTTTGCAATATGTGTGCTTATCTCCTCCACATAACTGTTGGCTCTCCCATCCTTTCTTGAAATTTTTATTTTATTTTATTTTGTCTAAATAAAATTTGATCTATTTTCATGTGTAGTACGCATGAAGAAGTTTATATATATGTTCAATCCTTTCACAAAATGTTAGCAACAAAATTCAAAATAGTTTTATTATATTTATGCTTTTCTACATAATATCAAGCATTGTAAGGGTTTCCGCTTCCAACCTTTGTTCTTTTTTCTCCATTCTTATCGAGATTATTCATTCTCTTTAGTATGATTGATTTTCGTGACTTTCACTCCAATGAGTTAACAATCATGAATGGTGAAATGATAATAAAAGAAAACTCCAAGGGCTACAAAGCTCATATTGATTGGATTGGAGAAACTATTTAAAACGTCCTCAAATTATGAAGACCTTTCTAAAAGAAACGGGAAAGATATGTCATCTTTTATTCTCATTTCTCTTTAGAGCCGAAAGATCCAAAGTTTGTATGTTTTGTTCTTTGTATGTAGTTGATTACTTGATTCTATTATCATGAATATAATGAGACTTGAAAGCAGTGGGTCATACAACTGCCTATCTTCTACAAAAGAAGTGTGGAAAACTATGAAACAAATGTACTTGAAAGTGAAGCATGTTGCTCTCATCTATGAGATCAAAATTAAGATCTCAACAATCAAGCAAGAAAACCTCTGTATAATTGAATACTTTAATGCTATGAAGGTTTATTGGCCTGAACTTAATTATTATCAAGATATCAAGATGGCATGCTGTGATGATGTAGTAATTCTCAAGTAATTTGTACAAAGAAAATGTGTTTGAGTTTCTTGCTAGACTCGATAATGTCTTCGATTAATTTTATGGTCAAATCTTAAGCAGATAAAGTCTTTCATCTCTAAATGAGATTCTCTCTTATATGAGTGGAAGCAGGAATGACAATAATGCTTAACAATCCAGTCTTCGAAATATCTGCCATGACAGTAACAAACCCTAAGATAAAGGACTTACTGCCACATATTCTTTCCCAAAAGAAGGATAAAAGCCTTCTCCCAAAGGCAGTCGATGGTGCAACTACTGCAAGAAGAAAGGACACATTACTGAAAAATATTGAAAACTTCTTAAAAAATGCCAAGGTTACGATTGAAAATAAAGGACTTCAAAAGGGACATGGCTATTTCATGGAATCTGCAGGGCTCAATCTGGTGACATTGAAAACCAAGGAACTTCCTCAAGTCTTTAGAAAAGCCATGCAGATAATGCTCTCTAGCTTAAAATGATATGATTTCTAGCTCTTTCATTTTTAGTGCCTTCAATAATTCCCCCTGAACTTGCATCCTAGATTTAGGAGTTACTAACTACATGGCAAACCTGGCCAATCTCTTTAAAATCTCAAATCTTGGTCCAAAAATGAAAAAATAGTAGCCAATGGCTCACAAACAATTATTGCAGGTCAAGAAAATAGTTCAATTTTCTCATATTTAACTTCAATAACTCACTTCATGTTCCTTATTTAGTAGCAAATATTTTATTAATCTATAAAGTCGCTAATGACCATAACAACAAGATTATTTTTTGCTAATAATTATGTATTTTAGGATCTCACTACGAGGAAGACAATTGTACAAGCTAGAGAAGAAGATGGGTTATGTCTTCTTGAAAACAGAAACAGCGTGCCTTGCTCCTTCATTGTGACCCATAATACTAAGATCATCTTGGAACATTATTTTAGGCTAGGATGTCCCTCAAGATCTTGTACTCATTTTATGGTAGTTCATTATGATATATGAGGATCTTCCAAAATCCCTAATATTTATGGAGTTATTGGATTTATCACTTTTATTAATGATTAAACTCAAACGACATTGTTATATCTTATAAATAAAATGATGAAGCATTCTTTTCTCCATTTCCACTATCATATTAAAAAATCAATTTAATGTTAAATCAAAATATTTTAGAATGATAATACTTGTGATTTCTTCAATCACAAATTACATGTATCTTTCATAAAGATTGTATCATTCACCAATACTCCTATTTTTACACCCCCCAATAAAATGGGACGACAAAAAGAAAAAAATCACCACCTTTTAGAAGTCATCTAAACTCTTGTTTTTAAGAATCAAATACAAAAAAAGATACTGGGGAGAACCTATTATAGTTGCTACGTACCTCAATAGAATACCCTCAAGAGTGATTGGATTCAATAGTCATTGAAACTATCTACCAAATTTTTTCCCACTAATAACTTTTTCTTAAAATTCCTTAAAAAGTATTTGGATCCTTTTACTATCTTCACAAAGAACATAGGGGTAAATTGGACCCTAGAGTTCTCAAATGTATTTTTATTGGGTATTCTCCCATAAAAAAAAGATACAAGTGTTATCATCACAACAACAACATCAAATTTTTATCCCACTACGTTGGGTCGGTGTACAAGTGTTATCATCCTATCAAAAAAAATGAAAAAAAAAGCTATGCCTAAAAAAAAATCACTTTTGATGCGAAGCAAACGGTGGATAATTTCTAACTGGAAGATAAGTTTGTTAAGTCTCCTATCTTTCATCTTGACATCTCTACAACATAATCCAAACAAATTCAAGCAGTGAATCCCTTCAGGCCTACAAAAGAAGGAATATAAGCCTAGCTAAAATCTCTAGTTTTGGAATTTTGGAAAATTGAAATAGCGCAACGGCTTTGGAGTTTGGCACCGTGCGTTATAAGCTTCTGGAGGGAGCGCTGCAGCGCTGGCATGATTTGGCACCCCGACGCTAGGCCTAAATTCTTTATTTAAATATTATTTTCCATTATTTCACTTGACTTCTTCTGTTTGGGTTGCCAACTAGAGAGAGATAGGGAGAGATTCTAGAGAGAGAAAATCCGCTTCGGATTGCTTCAGGCCATTTTAGCTGTCGGCTCAGTTATGAAAGTTGCTCGGGTCGAGGTAGTTTATGTTTTATCTATCTTAGTTTTCAATAATTTGGAGTTTTTGAGTTTTTTTTTTTATCGAATTTATATTTTTGATTTTGCAAAAATGTTGTTTTCTTGGATTCTAGTAAATTTTATTCGCATAATTTTTAATATGTTGTTGATACTATTATTTTGATTGTTTTGAGTATTTATTAAAGATTTTTTACCAGGTAATTTTGAAAAACAACAATTTCTATCAATTTAGAAATTCATCTTAACACTTGAAATAACGCTTTAGTTCAGTATAGCTTCATAATGTTGTTATATCCAATATCTAATACTGTGATATAATTCTAAAAATTATATTTTTGGCGAACTTTAGAACACTAGTTGGAAAATTATTTTGATAGCTGTTAGAGCATTTTTTATAGAATGTACTTTATTTTCAATATCTATGTTCGAAAGATTTGAATTGTGTGAAAATAACTTATGTTAGCAGCGAGAAGATATTTTGTTTTTTGTTTTTTTGTTGAAAGTTCTAGAGCTTGAGGGTTATTCTGATATTTACTAAGAAGAGATTCGGTTGGTGGCGAGATAAGATTCTGTTGGCGACAAAGAAGGATTTTATTGTTTGTTATGTATTGGATGGAAGTTGGGGGCTTGAGGGCCAGTATGATATTTTCTATGAGGTGTTTTTTTATATTCCAATCAATTTTAGTACAGTTTCAATAGTTTATTTAAATGCTTATTCCAATTCAGTATTTGTGTCTGCTTCAGTTTTAGTTTTTCATTCGGTACTTCAATTATTATTTAGCATTTTTCAACTCTTTTGTTTTGAATTATTGATTCTTGTCTTAGGCCGTTATAGTCTACTGAGCCATGTTAGCTCACTCCTATTTTTGTTTTTATTTTCAGGTGAGGGAAAAAGTAAGGAGCGAGCTGAGTAGTTTTTGATACTAGCCTATGATTTGTGCTGTAGGTATGCATTTTGGTTAATTTCTTTTTGGGAGGTTTAGCTTTCATTTTTATTGTATCTTTTTGTTACCAAGTGCTGTTGTAGATAGATCTCATATTATATTTGTATTTTTTAATGATATATAAAAAAATCATTTATGAGATTCAGTGATCTTCTGCTTTACCTTTATATTCAGTTGTGGCTCTGTGTTGTACATTATTTGGATGTTTAAATTTCACAACATTTCTTCAACTAAATCTTGGGGCCAGTCTCTTCTTCTTGCCACGATTGGTCTGATTGTGACATCAAGTACTAGAAAAAAAATTCTTCAAAAAAGAATAATAGGTTTCAAATAGAAAGGTGTATTAATGTAGACCATGCTGAATCGTGAGTGAATAGAATATCTATTTTCAGGATATTGTACATTTTTTAGAGTAAACTTTATAACCTAAAGCAAGAAATAACTTGTTGTTTTAAGTTCGAACACTGAATTTGAATTAGAGTGCTTGCTCAAGGTATGTACGAGCTCATGTGGATAAAAAATATTCTTAAAAATTAGGTGCATAAAGCTAATGAAGATATATTGTGACAATAAATTTGCTATTAGCTTTTTTAATAATCTAGTACAATATGATCGTTCCAACTATATAGAGGTGAATTGATAATTTATAAAAGAAAAACTAGAATGCATGTTAATTTGCACTCCATATGTGCAAACAAGGAGTTAACTCGTAGACACATTTATTAAAGATTTTAGTAATCCCTAGTTCAACTATATCATATGCAAATTTGGAATGGTAGATTTATATTATATCGTTTGATTTTGAAGGGAAGTGTTGAAGATTATGATTGTAATCCACTCCTCTGCCTCCTTCACACGTACATGACCTGTGCAACCTATGGTTGGAATCCATGGGTTTCTTTATGCTTCCAATCATAATATGGATCCTTGAGCACACATATTGAGGAGCTTAACAATTGGATCTTCTCCCTTATATGCAAATGAAGAAGGGGCGTGAGTAGACATGTAGCAACATCAAAGATTAGTTGAAAAATGGATCTATTCATCTCACATATGTATAGAAATTACATTTGCATTAAGTCTCATTTGTTAGTTATATATACAAACCCAATGAGTCTTACCTTTATGTTGCTTATAGAGTATTCATATACCTTGAATTAAGTCCTAGTAAAAAAATTTCTACGAAAAGAATGATAGGTTACAGATTGAAAGGTATATTAATGTAGATCATTGTTTAACCTTATGCAATATGAATCTAGTATTGAGGCCCGCATCAACACAATTCCAGTGAAAAATACCTTGAGGCTTACGTCTATAGCTTTCTTTTTGAGGCTTGTGCCTCAGCTTAGTTGAGGCCTTCACGCCTCGTTAGCATGAGGCGTATACCTTACCCTATTTATATATATTTTGATTAAAACTTACCTAAATTCTAAATTAAAGCTCCTAACAAATCACGCCTTCATGCACCCCTGAGCCGCAATTACTTTCTCTCAATTGCCTCGGCCTCTAGCCTTCTGCCTTTGCCACAACCGCCACCGTCGTAGCTGCCATTGTGGATTAGTTGAAAGCCACACACCACCACCACCTCCTCTAAAAATTTTGGAGTATTAATTTCATCTTTATGTTGATGACACAAATTTATGAAAAAGGAAGATCGAAATAAATGAATAATTAGATTGAGAGGCATTGAACTTCATAAGATGAGACAGGGGAGAGACCAATTTATTATGATGATGGCTAAAATAAAAACTCCTTCAGTGATAATCGTGTAGATGATTTTTGAGTTGTTACTAGCTATTTTAGTTTTTTTAAGAATTAAATGTGGATGAGTTGTTGCCTCGAACCGTTGTGGTGCCAGTTTGGAGCATTGCGACGCTCAACCTCTGTCATTTGGTTCATCTACTAGTGCTGTGGCGACAAGAACAACGCTCTTCTCTCTGTCATTTTTTCTAGCAAATTTTGTAGAATCGGGGTACCTGAGACCCTGAGGCACTTGAGTATACATTGTCAGGGTGTTGTACAAAAAAAAATTTGGGTTAGGTAGACCCCCCAACGAATATGACCATACTAAGTTGAGGTTTGTGGCAACGGTACAACCTGATTGATCTACACAATCAGATTCCAAACTAAACTAATAGTTTAATGGCAACGAAAAAAATTAAGAAGGCGAACAAAGTTAAGCTAGTGATGCAGGAGAGTTTCAAAGTAGTTCATCAATCAAGAATAATATCCATTTCAGTATCCATTGTCTTGCATGCTTTAAGTTAGGGTTGACTAGAGCTTCTTGATAAATCTTAGGAATAAAGATAGAATATAGATACATGACAGACCGATGAAAGGAACATGATAAATTATTAAAAAATATAAATGAGTGTGGTGGGTTATAAGTGCAATGGTGTATAACCTCTCGTATGGCAATTTGGAGATGAGATCTGGGGACCTAGATGCAGGTGGATGTCTAGTCGTAGTTGATAGGATGGAAGGAGGCACATTATGAGAAGGCAGATGTGGCCAATGAATATAAACTTGTAAGGGAGTAGTGAAAAACAAAAATAAATAAAAAAGAGCAGATTGAAAGGGGGGCAGTAGGGATGACTAGGAGGGCAAGGGATGTTTTTTAATGTTCTGATGCCATATATATATGCAAATAATATCCTCAATTAAGAGGATAAATTACATTAGGAACTTTCCAATGGAATACTTCCTAATCCATTTTTTCAGTCTTAGAAATTTCCTATGATATAACATAATTAATGACATTTATTAATTTTTATTTTGTTGTAATGATCGCTTCTAAGAGGCATTAACTATACCATTCTCTTTGTGTTTTCAACAATTGCAAGAATAATGTGGAGAGGTATGCCCCAGCTTTTGGCCCTGTGGTTCCTCAAGCATGTAGTGATTGTGGAAAGCAATTCCATGTTGGTGGACCAATATGGTCCTCACCAATACATGACCAAGCATGGGTAGAATCTATCTTGGCAGATGTTAGAAGTATGAAGGAAAGATATCCTGCATATGATAGAATTTCTTCTGTTCTAACTGCAATATCAGAGGTAATATAACAAGCTTAACTTGCTTATTTGAATACTTTGGATCCAAGATTTAGTTGAATAGGCTGGGCATGAGCTTGAAATAACTAGACCTTGGGCATTCTGATACAACAATATTAAGTTTTTATCCCACTACATGGGATCGGCTACCTCGGGCATTCTTATAAATGATTTCTTTTCTTTGCAGGAATTATCTGATGCGCCACTCTTTCTAAGTCTCCACAACCTTTGTAGAACGCTTAAATGTACGACCCCACCATCAGCTGCTTTCCATTCTGTAGTAATTAATGCTGGATATAGCATCTCAGGCACTCATATAACTCCACTGGGATTCAAATCTAATGCACCCATGCATGTCATTTGGGATATTATGCGCTGCTGGGTACTTAATGCCTGTTTTTTTTTTAAAACACTTTTATTTTCCTGAACATTTTCTGATGCCTTTTACTTACTGGTTAAGTGTCTTTGTTTCCTACATGCAGGTTAAAAACCATCCACTAAAATCCCAGCCTGCAGGTGAACCAGGAACAGTCATTCTCGGCAAGGAACCAAGTTTTTTAGTAAGTTTTCTTTACTTATTGGTTATTTCAGATGTTATGCTACTCATGGGTACATGGTCATGTGGGTTAAATTGTGGAGTAATACTTTGCCTTTTGGGCTGAGATGGGGGATGGTACTGGTCTGCTTTTGAGCTGACCAGACACTAGCTCTAGATTGGCTTGAAGTCATTCAATTCAATCGCAAGATCAGCCCAGTCTAGTTATCAGTTGGTTTGATGCGATCAGAGTTTTCTCCATGCATCTCCTAAGATAAATTATTTGCCCAATACATAGACATATACACTTGTAGAAACATATATATAAAATCTTAAGTTAACTCAATTTAATTTTTGGTAGACTCAATTCAAGCTCCATTTTAGATGAAATTATTAGGTACAGCAAACGTAAAGATACGTTCGAATTCAATAAAATTTTCACACATGGAGTCGTCTATAGAATTTTAAGCCAAACGCAATAAAAGCGCAGCCAAAGCGTAGGTAAAACACAGTAAAAAAGCACAACAAAATAGCAATTAAAGCGCGACTAAAACACATGTAAAGCGCACAAAAAGTACAACTAAAGTGCACTCCATGTGTCAAAATTTAAGTGGATATCCGGACGTAGAGATACATCCGGACTCCGCACCTAGTAATTTCTCCAATTTCAGGGGTTGGGCTCATTAGCTGGCTGAATGATTTTGATCTAACACCACCCATGTTTCCATTGAAAAGGTAAATTTTACACAACCATCAACCATCAACAAAACAAGAGCCAAGAAGGCTGCAAGGTTTTTGCTCAGCCCTGAAAAAAGCTGGGGTCCTATGCTCAGAGGAGGTCGGCTCATCAAAACCAAGCATCGCCAGATCGGTGAAGTTACAGAGAGCTCTCTCAATTCACATGAAAATTTTACTAATGATCGGGAGATATGATTGTCGCCAGTAGTCCTTTTCATTGCTCACCACCTCATTTGCTTACAACTTATTTTTTTATTTCTTTTCCTTTCACTTCTTATGAGCTGATTATTTTATGAATTTATACTTTGAATAATATGCACATGTAATAGAAAACTTTGTATTGATTATTTAACATATAATTTAAATTTTAGATGAGTATATTTTTGTCAAATTTATCAGTATGAAATTTTAATCGTCAAAATTTGTGCAAAATTTATTAGTGTGAATCACTTGTACAGAATTGATTTCTAACAATTAGAATTTATGGGATTAACCCCCGATTAAATATGATTTTCCTTGAGAAAATTAAACGGGCTTTTATTTTAGCAGCGAGTGTAAAAGAAAATATTAATTAATATATTTCTGGATCATATAATTTATAGTTATGTTATTATATAAAAATATATGATTGCTCGACTATTATGTATAATTCCTTAATATAATATATCACAACTTATGAATTTGAACAATTTGCATGGCTCCAATTTCTCAAAAATTATAATAAAACTTACCAAATTTTAAGTTTTGAAGATTAAAAAATAAATAAATTTATGCCTTAGTAAATAGAGTTTTAAAGATGCAAAATTAATTAATTATTACTTTTTAACTCAGAATTCAAAAAGTATAAATAAATTGCTAAATAAAAGCTAATGGGTTCATTTAGAATTATGAACATTTAAAATTTTAAATAACATTTATCTCCAACTTAGAATTTATAGAAAATTTGGTAAGTATTAAAAATTAAAGGTAACTATATTTATAAATTTTTTATTCTGATATAAAAGATTAAACCAAGATAAATCATTATGTTTTTGAATAAAACTAATAAAATTAGGAAACATTTATATAAAATAGAATGTAGAGATTAATTAAGGTTTCATTTGGGATGATTTTTTATTACTTCTAAGTAATTTTTTTAGTAAAAAAATAATTTAATTTTTGTAGTGAAGCTTCTTAGAAACAGTAAGAAATAGAGCAATCACTGCTAATGTTTTATGTTATTATTTTAAAAAGGCCTTGATGAAAATATATTACAATATTTGACATTAATTTTTGGCCTTTGGACCACCCTAAATTGGTCCTTTGATCATCTCAAAACAGTTAGAATCATAAACTCTTATTTTATTACCCAATGTAGGACCAACCCATAAATTTCCTGGCCATAATGAAATACAAGATTCAATCAAAATATCAGAGTGCTGCAATCACTAATTGTAACAATTGATTAATAATTTAGGAGTAGAAGAAAAAGGAAGCAAATGTGAGGTTTTTTATCCTTATTAGTTTCTGCAGGGCCAGCAGCTTCTGATGGTTAAAAAAATAATCTATAATCAATAGTCCCAAATCCGAATATGAAACCCTTTTGGTGCTTCAACTCTTGGAAATTTCAGCAGTTTCTCTCCTCCAATTTCCTCCCATCTATATCTAGTCACAAAGTAGTGAAGAAATAAGGAAACTTGTACAATCCCAAGCTCTTTCCCTGGGCATAGCCTTCCTCCTCCTCCAAATGAGAGGAAGTAATGGTGAGACTCCAAGTTCTGGTTCTGCATCAGAAAACCATTTTGATTATTCTCAATTGGCAAAGCAAATTTCCATAGAGAGAGAGAGAGAGAGAGTAAAATTCAGGCTGATGGCTCACCATCCATCTCCATGGATTGAATGAAAAAGGTTCATCATACACTAATGGATCATAGTTCATTTCCCTTGAATAGACATAAATCTTCCATCCTTTTGGAATGATATAACCTAGTAAAAAGCATGTAGAAATATAAGCAAAAGTTCTTAATGACATAAATTTTGGAAAATTTCAATCATACAATATTGCCTGAAAATAGTCTAAAAAAATATTTCGGACCATTTGCTGAATGACAAAAGATATGCAGAGATTTGAATACTTCCTTCTGAAGTGTGTGTTAACCAACCTTTTAATTCCGTATCTTTTGTTGTCTTCCTTAGCACTCCATTAACAACTGTGGCTAATCTTAGAGTTTCACATATAACCTGTTTATATATAGGAAAAAACAGCTTTTTTTATGTTAAGCTAGTTTTGAAGCAACTAAGACTTTGTTTACGACGGTTTTTTATTGCTTCTTAAAGAAGCTTTCAGCTAAAAATCTGCTTTAAGAAGTAGTAAGAAAGCCTTTTCAAACGAGGCCAAAATTTCACCAACCAATAAGTTAAAAAACTCACTGCGCGTGTAAACTCCATGGATTTATAGTCATTCCAATCAATCTTATAGTCAGATGATTTCTTCTTCTTTATTTCAAAATGTTCATTCTACAAAAAAAAAAAAAAAAGGGAAATGTTAGCTAATGTGCATTTTTTATATCAACAACAACAACAAAAACAACAACATCAAGCCTTTATCCCACTACGTGGGGTCGGCTACATGAATCTTTTTTCTCCATTGTGTCCTATTAAATGTCATTCTCGTTTAAATCTAATAAAGAAAGATCATTCCTAATATTTTCTAACCAATATTAGGAATTCTTCAAGAGCATTTTTTATATCAACACTTAGCATTTTTGTTCTCACCCTGAATTCTTCAAGAGCTTGTGGATGGTCATGAAGATATTTGATGGCCATCATTGTAGTAGTAGAAACAGTCTCAAATCCTGAATAAACTAAAGTTAGAATAGTATCAATAATCTGTTCATCAGATAATTTTGCTTCATTCTCAGAATCAGTTTCAAGGAGAGAATCAAGCATATCAGCTTGACAACAAAGTGGATCTCTTCTTCTCTCTTTGATAATATTTTCAAGCATGGAGATGACCTTCTCTCTTGCCTGCAAAAAAGGCCTTGTTTTTCTTAATCTGATAAGTTCTTTAGATGAGGCATAAAATTGTAATTTGTATCAGAATTACCTTAAAACCTCGGTAATAGTTAGTACCAGGAAAGTAGATTGGCAAAGAGATGGTTCCTGTTAGAACCCCATATAATTCTTTCTTCATAGATTCCGAAAGTGGACCTGTTTCAATTCCAGCTATCAGTTTCAGAGCTGAGAGCAGCCACATCTCTTTGGTTTTCTCTTGAATATCAATGACTTGGCCATTCCAATGGCAAAGAAAGGCATTGATGAACTCATCAATCTTTGATAAGAGCTTATCTCTGATCATAGTAGGCCTGATTAATCCAAGCATAGAACTTCTCATAGTCTTATGAAGAGATCCTTCAACTGCACCAATGTTCCATTTCCCCATTATTTTTAACATAGACTGAGGATATCCGGGAACAAGCCCCTTGCCTTCACTCATAAGCATGTACCTATTCAGCTCTGGTTCCATGCAGACAACTGTTGGGCTTCCCAGTATGTGTGATTTGAACAAACTTCCATGCCTAAATAATAATATTGGCAGTAAGTTGAATGTGACAGAAATGAGAACATTTAGATAAAACTTTAAAAATCATTGAGAAATATTTGTATTGGATAAATAATGAGTATAAACTTTAAAAAGTTAATGCTTGCAAGATGCATAATGCCAATTCCAAATAGCTGAAATAAGGCTAATGATGATGAGGATTAGTAAGTGAAATGTAGAGACTACATAGAAAAGAATGGAAAAAGAAAAGTGTTTAAAGTAGGCTTGAGCAGGAAAAGGCCAAAATGATGAGGGCAACTGTGCGGACACCGAACACCGCCCAGAGTGCAATGAAAATGCGCCACATCACCCCTTCTCTGTACCGCGGCTCGATAATGGGTGACGTTGCTGCAGCTGATTCGCCTCTAGACGACCGGTGTCTGCCCAGAATAATCTCTCCAAAATGAGAGACCATGCTGTGGCAGCAGAGAAATTACATGCGAGTTGCAGATGCTAAAAGGCACTAAAATCATCATAATATCATTAAGAAATAATTGGCTGCATTTGTTTTCATGGTCCTATCTTCAAACACTTGATGAGAGAGATTTTAAAACCAATCAAAGGAGAAGGAGGAGGAGGGATAATGTTTCATCATTTATTTATCATTGATGAGTTGAAACATGTAAGGCTAAAGAAATGAGAGAAGAAGGGACCAAAGTGCAAACTCACTTTGCGCTCTGGTTCTTCATGAAGCTGGGCCCTTGCTTCAGAAACTCTGTAGTCTCACCAAAGAATGGCCATCCCATTGTTCCTGGAGGCAATCCCTTTTTCCTGTACCTTAATTCATTCAATTTGAGCACTCCACAGCAAATAAAGAGGAACAGAAAGGGTACACCAAGAAGAAGAATTCCCATCATCTTCACAACTCTCTCTCTGTCTCTCTCTCTCTCTCTGTGTCTCTGTCTCTCTAGCTTTATGCATTGCATGTGTATTTATAGCCAAAAATAAACTATTTACCTTTTCAAAGCCTAAATTAACAGCCTATTTTCACGGAACAAGCTATAAATGTTAATAGAAAGTAGCTATGGATGTCTAAATTTGGAAGAAGAAGAAGAAAAATTCAGGAACCTATGATACAAAAATGGATGAAATCATTAAGAAATCATACAATAGAAAATCTTATATAAATAACGACACAAACAATTTTTAATGGAAATAATTTTTTTCAGCATTTTCATGTAGTACAAGAAGATTTGCCTTTAGTTTTTATAGAATTGTCTTGTTTTTTTTTATAAAAATCAGTAAGAAAACATCTTGTATTTTTAGGTATAACCTCATTGTTGGTTGTTTGTGAATATGTTGTTCACACTAATAATTTCTCTTAATTATAAAAATAAGAGTTTATATATCAACCGTTAAATGAAAATATATCACGAATAATAAAAAAAAGTCTTATCACATGAGTTAAAATTAGCTTCGATGAATTTGTTGCATGTATCATAGAAAGCTTTCATGACCATTTGGTACTTCGCATGATAGTATTTTGGCATGTAAGTACTTAGAAGATGTAGCTTTTAATAGGAAAAAAAAGGGGGCTAGTGAATAAATGCAAAAGCACATGGTCACAGCTCTATTTGGCTAAAGGGACGAAAGATACTAATTTCAAAAAAATGAATACAAGTGAGGGCTTCACATGCCTGCCCAATTGCATTGATTTGCTTATTCTACAATAAAAGTTCACCTAAATAATTAGGGCTCCAAAAATTCGCGCCCCATCCTTCCCCAGCTTTCGCTTGGGAGTTTTAACGTATTAAGTTCCGAGGTAAGTTTTCAGAAGCCATATTGAATTTATAGATAAGACACTACCTAGAGATTTTGCACTTATTTTGCAAGGACTTTATGATCTGAGTTCTGATTTCCTATAGGCACAATCCCCTATAGTTAATTACCCCTCTCAATCATGAGAAACGACTTTCAATTAAGGTTAGTTGTCAAATTAATACATCATATTCATAGATACGTGATGTCCGACATATAGTAGTAGCATCAGTTGGTATTTGAAAATTAGATATTTCACCATCTTGTACTTAAAGCGGATGGTGAGGGAATGGATGACGAGCCCGATCAAGATCTCATGGTTTCGTCATCCTGGGCCATCATGGTCCATAGTCTACTTAGTTAGAGGAGGTAGTCTACCCAACCTGACAAAAGGATCCTTGTAGGCAGCCATGTGTTGCTTCGTCCAAGGGTACCTTGTAGACATGGGGTGGATACACTACAGGAAAATCGTGAGTTACCGGCGGCCAAAATCTGCAAGAAAATCAATAAAATCCATTGCAAATTAGTTTTTTTGGGTGGATTTCAGACGAAAAATTTTGCGATGGTAACACGTGTGACAGAAAAAATAAATCCGGCATAAAAAATTCGTTGGAAATTCTTTCCGGCAGAATTCCGGTGAAACTATTCCGCCGGTACAATTTCCGGCGGGATTCATCCACCGAAAAAATTAAGAAAAATATTTAAAATCTTGTTGCGCAACCAGGGCGCTCCCAGGCCCAGGACAAGGCCCAGCCCTAGCCCCAATCTATGCTCAACCCGTAGCCCGGGCCTAGCCACCAGCCCCAGCCCGAACCAAGACGCAATTCACGCGCACCCAACCTGACCCAGCCCGAGCCCGTGTGCTCGCTTGTGCCCGCGGTTGCTCCCGCTGAAAGCGGGATTCAAACCCTGCCCCTCACACCTCCGCTCAAGCTCCCAACCATCATGATGCAATGGAAAAACTATTATGTAAGCTCTTTTTATATTTATATTATAACTTTTAAAATATAAAAATTAATAATGAATTATTAATTTAATTAATATAATTTATTTATTTTATTTAAATTAATTTAATTTAACAATGAATTATTAAATTAGTTAATTTAATTTTAAAATATTTTATTTAAATAATTTAATTTTATAATAAGTTATTAAAAATAATTAATTATAAATATTTATTATAGTCATTTTTAAGGAAAAAATATTTTTCATTGCAAATTCTATCGAAAAAAAATCCGTCGGTAAGCTAATAAAAAATTCCGCCAAAAATCCGCCGGAAAGTCCACCGGAAATGTTCTGTTGGTAATATGCCGGAAAAGCCGCCGAAATTTGTGACGAATTTATTTCTGCCGAAAATTTTGCCAGAAATAAGTTGTTTTCCTGTAGTGATATTTGTTTAAGGGGATAAATTTGAACCCACCTTAGCTAACAGAGAGCATTATTCCCTATCGATCATATTATTTTGATTCATAAATATCTTAAGGATTTAGTATTATTGGGGAGCTAACGAGCTTTGTCAGATGGTAGGGGAATGAATGATGAGCTCGATCAAGATCCCATGATTCTGTTGTCCTAGGTCATTTTGGTCCTTGATCTACTTAGTCAGAGGAGTTAGTCGACCCAATCTGATAGAAGGATCATTGTCGGAAGCCATGGGTTCACTCGTCCAAGGGTACCTTATAAACCTGAGGTTGATATTTGTCTAACGAGATAAATTTGAATCCACATTAGCTAATAGAGGGCTTTGTGCCCTATCGATTATATTCTATTGATTCGTATCTCAAGAATTTAGTATCATTGGGGAGCTAACAGGCTCTAGCAATGACCATAATTTAGTGGTGTCATTTGAAGACAAACCACCCAGTTCAGAGGCTCTGGTAATAAATGTTTGAAATAAAAATAAAATTAAATCCACATCTCCAATAAATTAGCTTATTTGAAATTAAAACTACGAGTAATAGTATTCTCACTTGTTTCTCCTAAATTTTATAATTATGATCTACTAGAGACCAAATTGTTCTTAATTACCAATATATTAATCAAAATAAAGGATTTGATATGAACTTTATTTGAAAGATTTTGGTATTTTTATTCCTTTTCATATGCTTGTCATGTCAAAATCTAAAACATAATATGTCCAAAGTCCATATTTGCAATATTTGTATTGAATTCCATAAATGGCCCTAGATATTTTTTTTTATCATACATAAATTGCATAATGCCTACTTGTAGTTAGGATGGTGACATATGAGAGGAAGATGGTCCCAATGAGATCCTTAGATGGTGATTTCACAACAAAAATTGACTATCTTCTTTTCTTTATGTTCTTTAAAATGGCTTCTTTTTTCTCTATATTAACTCTTCCTCTTATATATAACTACAAGGTTAATAAGCTTTCTCAGCCATGAATTCACAAGAGAGAGTCTTCGCAGGGGCGGAACCAGCTTCAATTTTGAGGGGGGCAAATACTGCACAAAAATAATAAAATATAAAAAAAATAAAAGTATATATCTATATATTATGAAAAGTGTTTTACAAAAAATTAAACAAGAAAATAAAGAAAAAAATGTGTAATTAAACTATCATGAAAAATATGAAAGAGAATATTATAGCTAAATGTGAAGAAATATATAGATATTTTAGGGCAAGTTAGGACAAAAGAATTTTTTAGGGGGGCAAAAGTAATTTTTTAGAAGGGGCAAAAAAATTATTTATATAGGAAAAAAATTTTTTTACTCTCCTATATAAAAATTTTTTTGTTTGCTCCTATAAATTTTTTTTTTTTTTTAGGGGGGGCAATTGCCCCCCCTAAGCCCTACATGGTTCCGCCCATGAGTCTTCGTTTGGGACAGCTTTTTTATTGCTTCTTAAAACAGAGTTTAATTTTTGTACTAAAACTCCATTTTAAGATGCAATAAGAAAGCAACCCCAAATGAAATCAGAATATATGCATTCCAAAGCTAGATTTCAAATAGTTCATGCATGATTGTTCAAAAAATTATTACTTTTTAGAATTTGAATGAATTGAATTATAAATAAATTTTAATCTATAATGCATATTTTTACTTAAAAATTTAGATATATAAAAATATATTTATGTATTGGTTTTATAAGAATCATTCGTAGAATTCCTATAAGAAAGTTCATATGTAATTTTTTTTATTGGTAAAAAATTAAACATTGGAAAGAACATTAGCTACTGTTTTCTTAATTCCTGTCGTGACAAATGGCAGCCAGGATTCACTGACACGTGGCAAAATTATTCTCAATCACCCTCACGAAGGAATCAACCCCCACCATGGCATGTACGTAGCACTAAACCGCACCAGTCTTCCTTACATCAATCAATGGGCTGAGTGGGACCGGGTCACTGACCCGGCCCATTCGCACGTGCATCTCACTTCCTCCTCTCTTGTCCTGGACCAGAGCTGATGACTTACGCTTTCATCTGTCAGAAGATCACATGGGCTGGGCCGGTTCGGGCCCACTGCAGTGGACCATGTCAGCATGGTTCATGTTCCACCTCAGTGGGTCTAATCACAAGTTGGGTTGGGTTGGGCTGGGCTGGGCTATCGTTGGCTGATCCAAATTTCTTATATTTACTAGTGAAATATCATATATCTTACCATGTTAGATAAATCAATTGTGCAATTATGGATGCATTTGATTAATTTATGGTCAACTGATATATATTTTTTTTAATTCGTGCTTGTCATTAATTTTATTATTGTTGAAGGGAAAATTTACAAAAAAAATATGTAAAACTTTCAATGTTGGAGTAGTGACTTGAAAAAAATATTTATTTGATTACACCATGCTCACGTAGTCACATCTCCAAGAAATGAATATGATAGATACATGCTGGCCATCCTTGCATGTCATCATCAACTCTAATCTCATCATTTTGAGATTGCATGATAGTTATCAACTTTGATCTTGTCGATCTCAACACCTCACATTCCTACGAAATTATTACGTGCAGTCACTAGACGCCGTCTGGAGGCTAATCAGGACGCGCCACATTACCAATACGTTGTGTACCGTTAACATATAATGTCGTGTATCAAATGACATGATGCATTCTGATTGACCTCCGGAT